AAACAGAATATTTTTAACCCACAAAAATACTCTAGTCCGAGTTCCCCCCCCCCCCCCCCTCCACCACCATACAATTTTTTTCCTACAAAAATCCAAAGAATCACTCCCCGAACGCGTTTACACCAGAACAGGATTATTCTCTCTTTGTATATTGTCAATGTAAAATCTGATTCAGTTTTGGCTTACGGTTTTGTCATAATTTGTAAACGGTAGATTTATCAAGGTATTCTCTATTTTTATTCTATATATTCTCTATAGATATTATATAGAACTATATATTCTATTATATTCTCAATAAATAATTTTTGTTAAAATGTAAAAAACAAAAAAATACTGAAAAAATCACAAATTATTATCTATTTTGTAAAAAGATCAATGTGAAAATATACTTAGGTATATGCGATATAAATTCGAAATACATTTTAGATACGAGTATACCATTTACAAAAAATTTTAATCTTAATTCACTAAACTATATCTAATGCGTTGTATATATAATTTCACTCTTTATATGTAGTACTGGAACAATATTGCAAAATTCTTATAATAAATATAAATAAATATAAATCCATAAATATATAATTCATATTGTAACCATTCAAAATTAATAAAACATCGAATTTGAACATCAACACTAACATATTATTTAATGAATATACATACATGTACATACATTGTATTATTTTATGTAAGTGTTTAACTACATATATACTACATACAATTAACAAACGGCTTAATATATAAAAAAACAAAATAGAATAATAAAAGTCATAATAAACGAAAATTACCTTATTTTGGAAAATTAATTCTCACTAATTATAAGATACAAACAAATCATGTTTGCAAAGTATAATTACATAATATTTAAATTATTACAATAGAACATTAAAAATATTGTTATTATAATAAATAACGGTAACATTTATAATCAAAAATTTTGAAGTCTGGCAACAAAAATGCAAATATGAAATGCAATAATATGAATTTAAGTGCTTATATTGGTCTGCATTAAGATAAGTCTATGCAATATAAGCCGTCAAAAATTAGTAAGAAAAATTAATTAGAAGTAAAATTATAGATTGAGGTACACGATGGTTAGGAAGCATTTAAAATATAGTTTAATGAAATAAAAAGGGCCAATCAATATACAAAAGAATAAAAAATTTTAAATTACGAATGGGATTTACTTGATCGATTTTACCTCTTTTATATATGTATAGTAAACGGGAATACAATTTCAACAGCATTATTACTTATATAGTATCATTGATATAAATCAAGTCCGTTTAAACTCATTTAAATAAAACTCCGTGTTCATAAAAACGTCTAATTAAAGATGAGCTCCATGTTCAGGAGAATGCAAAAAAAATTATTGTCTTTACTTTATTTACTTTATCCATAGTACGTTAGTTCACATTGAATTACTTAAACTAAAAAAAAAATCTATAACAAATTTATTTGCATGATCAAAAAATTTTCAATCAAGTGTAGTCAAATAACATCAAAAAATAAAGTTGGGTCAAACCAATGGCTTGTATTGTAGCATTTTTCCCTTCAACAAGTGTAAATACTGCTTCTAAAAACAATCTAGACCTACTACACTATTTAAATTACTTTTATTCATATACGAAATTATGTCATTAAGGATTGCATATATTTAGGATAAAGTCTTTTAAATAAAGTTAAAATAAATTTAAAGAGGTGTTAACGTAATGCTCGATTTTAAGAGTTAATTGCGTAAGTTAAGCAAACTAATTATATTTTTTAATGACATGGAATTTATATGGTGCCAAAATTCAAATTTTACAAATTTCGAGGGGACGGAGGTGGGAAAAAACTTTCTTCTAACGAAATGAAATATTGATTAGTGTCTTGGAGCTGTTAAAATGTCAGACTTTTACAATTTGTGGTCTAGAAGAAAAACGACTTCAAAAATTTGGAAAAAACGGATTTTATATAACGGTAATTTGTTTTTTTAAAGTTAAAATATATGCCGAGGTCGAAGCAGGCACCCACTTCATTTCTGCGTTTGCCAAATTTAGAAATGCTTATGATTCACTACAATAAATGGTTAAAAAATACCATTTTTAGGGTTTTTAGAGGAGTATAACTTTTAGAGGTGGAGGGGGAGATAGGTAAAAATTTTATTGTACGGTGTTTTCTAGTAAAGATGTACATATAGTATATTACGCTGTTAACATTAAAATATGGGCGGCTATAACAAAATGGAGATCTATAACTTCAACTTGACTTATTCAGTAATACTGTTTTAATTACAGAATGGGTTAAATTGAACGTAGATCTGCATTTTGGTTCCACATACGGTCTGTTATTGCATACGTTTAGGATTAATATATAAATTAAATGAAACACATTAAATATTAGTCGAATACGATAACTATAACTGCAAACGTAATTGAATAAACTATTATTCAAAAAAAAAATTTTTATAGGAAGACATATACCGTTACTACTAGGTTATTCAGAGAAATTTCGAAAATTGTAGAAAATGTCAATGAAAACATGTTTCTTTTAATACATTATAATTGAAGAAAAAAAATTCTCAAAGAAAGTTCTATCGCATATACATAAAATACGAAGTTATCAGTAAAGAAAAATCTTACATTTAATTATATATTTCCCGTGACCGTGTAAATTAAACTGCGAATAAGCTGAGTACTGAGTTACTGCAAATTTTTTAAAATAAAGATTTTTAATCTAAAAAATAAATCTATTTATAATTAAATTTTTTAAAAAGAAAAGTATTAACATTTGCTTTAAAATTGCAGAATAAATAAAAATCCTTATTATTCAATTATTCCTTGTTACTCTTTTTTTGTTTTATTTTTAAAAGAGAAACATTACAATAAGGAATTCATTCTACTTCTAAAGAAGAAAATATTAATTTGTTTATCCTAAACGTAAGTAACTACAGTAATGCAACATGACTTATTGAAATTAAATAATAATATCATATAGGAAACTATTAATAAAAGAAATATTACTCTGTTTTGTCGTCGTCATCATGAATTGTCGCATGTCAATATACAAAATACACACATACAACGACAACAAACATATAAGAAAAGATCAATATGAAAATAAGCAAAAAAAATAAAACTACAATAAACTTGTTTTTGTTTATCGTATGATATAAGAGTTAGTGCTCGGACATAATATTTCTTTTGTTTTTTTTATTTCTCCAATTCTTAATTTATTCTTATATTTAAAATTATTTTGTTAATATTCTTAAAAACACTCAAGCATTAAAATGTCAAAACACTTAATATAAAATAATTTACAATAAATTTGGATTTCTTTCATTTCTAGAAAATTCCAATGTTAAAATGGGTATAGACCGCTGCTAATAGATTAATATAAATGTGCTATAATTTGTAATAATTATTAATTGAAACGAGGACAAAAGTTTTATTGTTACCAAAGCTATAGAAATTCGAAAAAGCTAGAATTTCAATACAAAAAAATGGACAAACACAAGAATGAAATTGGAAACAGCAGAAAAAATTGGGATGGTCTTGTAATCAATTCTTAGTTTCAATTTGCTATTGTCTAGAAATTCTAGCCTTTCTTTATCATGTTACAGTGATAAATAATATAACGCACACTGTTGCAAAGGTCTTGTAAAAGTCTACAAAACGCTTTTTGTAGAAGAGGCTGCGAAAAACTGCTTTTCATTCCACTTGTTATAGCCGAATACTACTTCAGCATAAGTTTGCAGATTTTTCTTTCATAAATAACAAGAATAGATGGTCCCACCTCTAGTTCCAATTTGATCATTCATTTATTCATGTTCATAATATAAAAATGATTACACAGTAGGAAAAACAACAAAACAATAGCAAGAGCAACATAATATAAAAATAAAGGTGAGCGAGCATGTTTTCTCGTTTGATTTTTTATTATTAGTTTTTTTGTTTTTTTTTTCTGTTTCTTTTTCTCATTTTAATTTTTATTTTTTTGTGTTGTTATTCATATACTCGTATTTACCTATTTTATTTACTCTTGTTATTTTATAATAAACGTCAACCGCACTCCTGGATAAAAGCTTTAAAAATATTTGTTGCTCATTTTTATTTTTACTACTTTACTGCCTTACTTTAGTTACTACTTTTCTATATAATACTTCAAGCCAACCAAATATCTACTATAAGTACATTTAATATTTTACTCTTTTGGCTGCTTATTACATTGCATTTAAAAAATTGTTGTTGTTTTTTATATTACAGAGATATTAACTTTGCCAAGTGCCAGATCGCACTGGGAAAATTAAAAAAAAAAACAACAGAAAAAAAAATATTAAACAGAACCAGGGATCCCAACCGTATACTAAAGTAAGTAGATCTATTTACTTTTGCTTTCGCCCATTTACTTAGCTATAACCAAGAATTACAAAGTTTGTACAGTACATGAATAAAGAGAAACGGATTGCAATACTGCATTTTTACTACCTAGATCCGCATACATATGAATTCAACCGCATTTATTTCATAATTATAGAAACGTATTTTTAATTATAGAAATGTATTTTAGATAAATTGTAAAAAATTCATACACATATATAAAATACACATATTTAAATGAAACAGCCCCGAATAAAGCGAAATCACCTTAGTCTAAATTCATATTTCACCGCTAGCGATTTATTTTTTGACATCATCTGTTTCCAATTGCGTGTTTGTGACATTATATGCAAAATACTAAACTTTTGAGTTTGCCGTTCCGCTATTTTTCTGGGTTAGCAGCGAAAATCTTCCGCTATTGCCGTTTACCACTTTGGTTTTGTTTTTACAATTAAAAAGGCAATTATACACACCTCTACCTTTATATTTATATTTTTTGTCAGAATTTACTTACTACATATTATATACTTTTTGAGTTGGGGCCCCTGACCACAACACAACAAGTTGTTTGTTAACATTTTTGTTAACGACCATCTTTACTTTTTCATTTGATTTTGGTTTTCTTTTTAGTCTAAGGTAATGTCCCGAAGTGTAAACGTGTATTTTTTAAAATAAATAAGAAAAAAAAATACACCAGGTCTTATAAAATTTTTTAATAAAAATTCGTGTAAATTACTTCTCAACATTTTTAAGGTTTTAAAGTCAAAAAGTGCGTGGTATTGAAAAAAAAAAACAGCTGATATTCCAAAAACATTAAAAATAATTTTTGTTTTTAATGTGTTTGCAAAAATTTTGTTACTTAACAAAAAAAAAAAAAAAAAACACGAAATTTTTGAAAATAATTTTTTTTAAATTTTGTGCCAAAATACATAAAAATTTTTGTTTTGGTTTTTCTTCTCTTTTTAAACAAATTTTCAAATTTTTTTTTTTGAAATTAGGAAATCGCATTTTAAAACAATAATAATAATTATTAAATAATAATATATAAAATTAGGTAATAAAATAATAATAAAAATAATCATAGTAAACAATAATATTAATATTTGTTTATTTCCAATATTTATAGTGAAATTTAAATTCAAAATAAAATTTACAATAATATTTACTGTGTCACTATACACAATTGAGTAATTATAATTCATCAGCTGAATCACATGTAAATACGAATAATGATACAAATAAAAAAAATAAAAAAGCAGGAGAATCCTTTAACATTCAGCATGACTTCAAAATTGCAATATGATATTTAGTATATACAATTAAGCTATTACAAGTCATAAGCTGAATGTTGTAAATAAATAACTTATTTTTAATACTGCAATTTTAAGATAGAAGTTTTTAATTAAAATTTTTGATAAATAAATAAAAATGCAAAAAACTAAACTAAAAATTCTAAAATAAATCAAATGAAAAACAGATGAATAAATCAAAGAATACAGATGAAAAATAGACAGATGGACAATTGAAAAATTAACTTTTTTTCCTAAATTTAATTTTCAAGAAATCTTCACATTTTAGCAATGAAACAAATCATGCACAATCAATGATAAAAAAAAAAAATTTTTTATTTTTTTTTTTATTTCGAAATCAAAATATTTTCGAGAATTGAAAAGAAATTTCGATTTGCAATTTTTTTTTGAAAATTTACTAGAAAAAAGACAAATATTAATTTTTACTTATAATCTTTTTTTTTTTTCAAATAAAAAAAAAATTATACACGTGTATATAAATATAGAACAGGGCAGGCGATATTTTTATAAAGGCTTATAACGGATGTGCGGGCAGGCAAAAGACTTTCTTTATGAAGTTTAGTTTGGGCTTTCCTTTTGAGGCGCCAATAAATTAAGGTATCATCCTCAGAAACCCACAAAACTGAGCTTTCCTTTCAAACACCAACACAAATTGAGCTTGAAAAACTGTGTCATACAATTTCATCATACATAATTTAAATATGAAATAAAATATTATATAAGTTTTTTTACTTGCAAATTCTAATAACGTTATTTAAACGTGTTTTTTTTTTCATATTTTCTGTTAAGTTCCTTTCATTTTGAAAGACGTCATGAAGTCGTTTATATAGCAATTATCTTAATAGAAAAACTCTACAACCCAAAACCAAATTATGTTATAAGTTTATAAAAATTCATAATACTAAAAGTATTTAAGTAGAAATTAGGCGTATAAAAATTAGAAGTAAGAAAATTTTACATGTAATTTAAATTTTATTTCTAATTTTATTTCTTAATATCCTGCATTTTTAATTAAAATTTATTAATTTTGTAATTTATTCATTCATTGGATATCTCATCAGTTAATTAAATTTTATTTGGGATTTTTATATAATAATTAATTTATTGGTTGTTCGGCACCTCCAAAATAAAATTAATAGTAATTCGTTTTCTATTTATGATGAAATTAATTTTATTAGTGATATTAATCTTTACAAAATTGCAAACTAACTGGTTATAGTAATGTTGTTCGTTCCTTCTAATTACCGGCATATTATTTATTCCAACAAACAATTCTTAACATTTTTTCGAATTTAAGTACTTTTAAAACTTTAAAATTTCTCTTAATCCTTCTCAATTGCATATATACTAGATATGTATGGCAATCAAATACAACTTATCGCCAGCCCTGTACATATTTATAATAAACATACGTACATTTGTATGTATAAAATATATTTATTTTATTGGTTAACAAAGTTTTTACATTTATCGCATAGCGACAATTCTGTTAGTCACAAGAGTAGTGAAGTATAAAATCATTAAAAAAAAAAAACAAAAAAAAATTCAAGAAATAAATGAAAAACAATAATAATAACAAAAATATCAATAATAAATAAAAGAAAAAAAACAAGCATAAACTGGTTATACAGGTAGAGGTAGGTATCAGTATAGGAAATAAGTAGTCATATAATGTTAAACGAAAAAAAAATGAGAAATAACAAATTTAAAAAAAAAAAATTTTTATATTATACTTATGGTAGTTCACGCTGCTTTCGCCGCGCCACCTAGCCAAAAAAATTTCAAAAATAAGTAACTACATATTTCAGCTTAACATATTTTTTTTTGTTATCATTATTGCTCTTATTACTATCATTAAGGTTATTATTATTAATATTATTTTTATTATTATTATTTTTATTATTATTATTATTATTATTATTATTTTTATTATTATTATTATTATTATTATTATTATTATTATTATTATTATTATTACTATTATCATAATATTATTATTGTTATTATTATTATTAATATTATTATTATTATTATTATTATTATTATTATTATTATTATTATTATTATTATTATTATTATTATTATCATTATTATTACTATTATTGTTACTATTATCATTATTATTATTATTATTATTATTATTATTATTATTATTATTATTATTATTATTATTATTATTATTATTATTACTATTATCATAATATTATTATTATTATTACTACTATTATCATAATATTATTATTGTTATTTTTTATTATTATTATTATTATTGTTATTATTATTATTATTGTTATTATTATTATTATTATAATTATTATTATTATTATTACTATTATCATAATATTATTATTATTATTATTATTACTATTATCATAATATTATTATTGTTATTATTATTATTAATATTATTATTATTAATATTATTATCATTATTATTACTATTATTGTTACTATTATCATTATTATTATTATTATTATTATTATTATTATTATAATTATATTATTATTATTATCATTATTATTATTATTATTATTATTATTATTATTATTATTATTATTATTATTATTATTATTATTATTATTATTATTATTATTTTTTATTATTATTATTATTATTATAATCATATTATTATTATTATTATTATTATCATAATATTATTATTATTATTACTATTGTTATTAAAATATTATTATTATTATTATTATTATTATTATTATTATCATAATATTAATATTATTATTATTATTATTATTATTATTATTATTATTATTATTATTATTATTATTATTATTATTATTATTATTATCATAATATTAATATTATTATTTTTTATTATTATTATTATTATTGTTATTATTATTATTATTATTATAATTATTATTATTATTATTATTATTATTATTATTATTATTATTATTATTATTATTATTATTATTATTATTATTATTATTTTTTATTATTATTATTATTATTATTGTTATTATTATTATTATTATTATTATTATTATTGCAATTGAAAATTTTTTTACCCTATCGTGTTATATCTATATATTTTTGCCATTACATGTACCGTACGCTTTATATAGTCTGATACACATTTATACGTGCACAATATAATTCTTAATATTCAAAATTAAAGGCTTTGCATATCCATATGTACATACATACATGTGCTGCAAAAATTTAATATTTAGTGGTCTTGCTAACAAATTTATTTCTCACTCCCGTACATGCGTGCTCCCAATACAACATTAAAAAAATATTATTTAACTTAATTAAAAAATATAAATACATACCCCCTTTGGAATGCATTATTCAGCATTATATAATTTTTATATATGAAATTTTTATATATGAATGATGCATAATGAACGAATCGGAACATTTTTATTTTAACATATTATTCGTCTTTTTCATATACCTTATCCATAACTTCAAAATTTCAATAACACTACAGTAATTAAAGCTCGTAAGCTGAAAATTGGGAATTAAATATTATATACAGTCAAACTTCGCTATCACGTACTCTATTTAAGACGAACTTCTCTTTAACACGAATTATTTATGTTTATATAGCATTTTGAAATATGTTTTTATATATTTTAGTCTATCTAACTCGAACATCTCTCTATAACTCGAATATCTCTTTAACTTGGACATCTCCGTAAATCGAACTTTACTCTATCTCAAACTGTTTTGTGTTTGAGATCTAAATGTTAACCCATAAACATTTGCCTCTATCTCTCAGTTAAACGTGTTAAATACATATATTTAAAAACATACGAAAAATGCACTTTTCATACATTTTTCATACAAAAAACATTCACAAATAATTTTACCGACCGAATTGCATATATCGATATTTTTGCATACCTTCTCCGTGGTAGGGAAGTGTAAATAAACTATTTTTAGCAACCTGTCGGCTTATTGGTTTGTGTGTACACGCATGTATTTCAAATTCGACTGAACAGGTTTTGATGAAATTTTATATGTAAATTTATTTAGACTATGGCACGGATTGATCCACTTTTGGAATATATCACTCCTCGGGAACTGGACTTTTTAGTGGGCCTGTTATATCTGTTTTTGAAAAAAATATTTAACCGATTTTTTAGATTAAATGTTTTGTAATTTCATTTATTTCCCTAAGTTTTTTGCAAAGCATTTAAAAAATAAGTCTTAAACTAAAACTTAATATAATTATAAAGTATAAAATTCTTAAAAATCTAAAAATGTTAATTTAAAAAATAATAACAATAAATCGGGTCAAACCACTGGTTTGTATTGTAGCACTTTTCTCTTCAACAAGTGAAAATACTGCTTCTAAAAACAATCTAGACCTACTACACTATTTAAATTACTTTTATTCATATACGAAATTATATCATTAACGATTGCATACATTAAGATACAGTCTTTTAAATAAAGCAAAAATAAGTTTAAAGACGTGTTAACGTAATGCTCGATTTTAAGAGTTAATTGCGTAAGCTAAACACAATAATTATATTTTTTAATGACATGGAATTTACCGTTAGCTTTCTGCGTTTATAAAAATTGGAAAAAGCTTGCGGTTTCGGAAATATAAGGTGCTAAAATTCAAATTTCACAAATTTCGAGGGGATGGAGGTGGGAAAAAATTTTCTTATAACGAAATGAACTATTTATTAGTGTCTCGAAAAGCTATTAAATTATCAGACTTTTACAACCTGTGGTCTAGAAGAAAAACAACATCCAAAATTTGGATAAAACGGATTTTAGATAACGGGAAATTTTAACGGCCATTTTGTATTTTTAAAGTTCAAATATAGTACGCCGTTGTAGAAGATGGGAGACACTTTATTTCTGCGTTTGCAAAATTTAAAAAATTCTTATGGTTTCTCTGCAACAAATAGTTAAAAAATGCCATTTTTAGGGTTTTAGGGGGTTATAACTTTTAGAGAAAGGAAGATAGATGGAAATTTTCTTCTACGTTTCTAGTAAAGATCTATGTACATAGAAAATTTCAGCTTTCTATTGTCAAGAGCGCAGAAATTTTGTAAACAGACACAGCGAAAGACGGACGGACGTACGGACAGAGTGAAACTAATAAGCACTTTTCAAAAAAAATTTTGGAAAAGTGCTAAAACTCAAAACAACAATTCAATATAATTCAATAACAACTTTAGGCATAAAGGCAAAAAAAGATAAATAAAAACTGTATAAAAATTAGAATAAAGAAAGATCTACTTGAAATTTCAGACAAGAGCTTCATTCGACCGTACGCAAAACTTCCTAACTTTTGGAAGAAATAAGGTGTCAGCAGTTGAACGTTTAATACGGGCCAAATATACATTTTTGCGTATATAAAGAGAAATAATCAACTGATTTTATTCAAATTTAATATTTAAATTTGAGGTTTGCTCGAAAACAATGAATTTATAATTTTTTTTGGAAAGATCAGGGCTCGGAAACTGATCTGGAGGCCGAGTTTACATTTTTTACCTTATCTACGAAATGGATGAATGGAATTTCTTCAAATTTAATATTTGCGTTCTGGTTGTAACCAGAAGTTACTGACGAACTTTTCGTATAATTCGTACGGCACAAAATGAAACTCTCCTAAGAGCCAAATTCACATTTTTCTAAGTTTGTTAACTAAAAGCTTATTAGTGTCCTTAAAATTGTAAAGAAGTGTTTACAACGCACTTTCATAATCTTCTGGAATACTTTTACTAATCTAGACAAGTACATTACGGTCGGTTAGGTGCTGAAGACATCAGTTTTTTTTTATTTTGATAATCAAATGATACATTTTCTGCAATATATACAGAATACATGGATACATTATTCAGTAGTATATTAATTCACACTTTTCCATATAATTTGTAAATTTATTATAATATTTAAAATTCATTATTATTATGGATGCGACGACTTGTTCCCTTACATGCATATGCTATAAATCTATAAATTTTTATTTCTGAATAAAGCAGATTGAAAATTTAGTTTAGTTATTTATACATAGGAGCCCTCTGCTATTTGGTTTCTTTTTATTACAAAGGCATTTACTTTCTTCTGATGTCAAGTGCATATTTAGGCTTAAATTTCAAATTTCGTCAGCAAGACTTAAATGATATAAGAGAAAAAAAATATGAAAAGAAAATTTTGAAAAAGAAAATAAAAAAGATATTTGTTTTTTTATCACTTTGGAACAAATATAAAAATTTTAATTGTGCACATAAGTGTAGAGTCGTTTGAAAAAAAATGAAGAAAATGAACAAAAAGTAAACTTCGATCAAACCAATGGTTTGTAATGTAGCACTTTTCCCTTCAACAACAAAATTCCTGCTTTTAAGAATAATCTTTATATTACATTATTAAAATTATTTTCATTCACAATATACGAATATATTTCAAAAATTGCATTAATTTAGGATGAGTATGCAATCTCAATCAATAATATAAAAAAAAAATTCAAAGAGGCTTTGACATAATGCTCGAACTCAAGGGTTAATTGCATGAGTTTACAGTTTTGGAGAGGGGATAACTTGATAGCGGGTGGAGGTGGAAAAAGATTTTCTGCCAACGAAGTGAACTGTTAATTAGTATCTAAATGCTAATAAAATTTCAAACTCCTACCACTTGATGTCTAGAAAA